AACACGGCCCTGAGTAGCGCTCAGAAAGTTTCAGCACTCCAGCTGCTCCGGTTGGAGGGTTACGTCAAACTTCACGTGCTCGCACGTGAGTGGCAACGTGAATGCTTTCTTCGCCCGCGGTTACCAAACACGGCCCAAGGTAATGCTCAGAAAGTTTCAGCACTCTAGCTGCTCTGGTTGCGGAGTTACGTCAAATTTCACGTGTTCGTATGTGAATGGTGAAGTGAATGCTTTCTTCGTTTGCGATTACTCAAACACGGCCCTAGGTAATGCTTAGAAAGTTTCAGTACTCCAGGTGCTCTGGTTGCAGAGTTACGTCAAATTTTACGTGTGTGCACGTGTTCGAACGTGAGATGCAGAACAGCTGACAAGTGACTTACTTTCACGGACACAACAGTGGGCAACAAGTAACGCTGCAAAATTGCAGCTTTCTGCAGCTTATTGATCACCTTAAATCTGGAGTTGGCATGATGCCATTTTAGACTTTGACGTGTGCGTACGTGAGTGCGTGAAGGCTGAATTTGAAATCTTTGGATTAGACACGGCTAAGGAACAACTCTGCGAAGTTCCAGCCTCCTAGCATGAGCCGTTCCCGAAAACGCTTTCCCGCCAGAAAAACTTTCACGTGCCCCTACGTAGGAACCACGCGGACCTGAGCGTCCATTTTGAGGGTGCGAGCCCGCACGTATGTGTAGATTAAGTCTCCAAAGTTTCAGCCTTGTAGCTTTTGTGAATCTCGAGATGAAAACTCGTTACAGATGCACACACAAACACACATACATACATACACACACACACACACACACACACAGCCCCTCGACAATATGCGTTTTTGCATTGCATAGCTGCAAAAAACACATAAAAACTCTACTCGTTATGCGTTTTTGCCTACAAGCAAATTGCAAAAACGCATATTGGGACGACCCTATCTATGTGTGTGTATGTATGTGTGTGTGTCCGTTTGTGTGTGTGTTCGTCTGTCCGGGTATTTCAACTCGGCAGCCAAGCAATTTCCAGCGCCGAGATTTTGCTGTTGGGTACTCCGGCCAAGTACCACCCCAGAACCGCGGTACCATCCCTCACGCACGTCTGGGCCCCGTGTGCGAGGGGGTAAAAGTTTTGGCCGGAAAATTGAAAACTCGGGAACGGGAAAAAATAGAAGGCTGAAACTTTGGGAATATGTGCCCATACAGTGCTCAAACAATGCCCATTTTAATATCATCCCCTGCGGACGCCTGGGACGCCGGGTACGGGCCCCTTAAAAAAATATGCAAATTTTTTGGCGGGAGAGCGATCTCGGGGACTACACGAGCTAAGGGGCTGAAACTTTGTAGGGATATTCCCTGTGCATGTACTGGCAAAAGATTTCAAATTCAGCCCCCTGGGTATGCGTGGTACTCACGTACGTATGAAAGTTTTAGGGGGAAAATTGCTAACTCGACAACCAGGAAAGCTGGAAGGCTGAAATTTTCAGGGAATGTTCCTGGCCCATATACGACTTAAAGTTATCAAACACCGCCCCCAGTCATTCGCGGCTCTCACGTATGCCCTCGTGAAATTTTTTGGCTGGAAAATGGCTAACTCGGGAACCAAAAAAGCTGGAAGGCTGAAATTTTCAGGGAATGTTCCAAGCACAAGTACGACATAAATCTATCAAATAGCTGGGAGGCTGAAATTTTCAGGGAATGTTTCAAGCGCAAGTACGGCATAAACCTATCAAATTCAATTCAGTCATACGTGGTTCTCATGTACGGCCCCGTGAAACTTTTTTGGCGGGTAAATGACTAACTCGGGGACCAGAAAAGCTGGGAGGCTGAAATTTTAAAGGGATGTTCTCAGCCTTCATACAACTTAAAAATTCCAAACCCAGCCCCCAGGTATGCTCATAGGTCACGTACGACCCTGTGAAAGTTTTGGCGGAAAAATTGCTAACTCAAGAACCAGAAAAGTTGGGAGGCTCAGATTTTAGGAGAATATTCCCCGTCCAAATAAAGCTTAAATCTTCAAATCCAGTCTTCATCTACGCGTGATTTTCGTGTACGGGCAATTAAATTTCTGGCGGGAAAACTACTAATTGAACAATTGGTTATTTTCAAAAAAAAACCGCTAAACGGAAATTTCTTTTTATGCAAAATTTGCGAGGGGGGATTTTCGGCATTAAGCACACAAGGTAGATGTAAAGAAAAACCGTTCATGCCGTTAACCTAATTCAAGTTTTGTGCAAAAACGCATGACCGCACCGGCTCGCCTGGTGAGTCCCAGCCTGGGTTTCATACACGAGCTGCAAAAAATGTTTTCTTCCGACGGTTGGTAGGGCTGCACCACAGTGGATGACGGCAGAATGAATGTGGCAGGTGGAAGTGGGGGGGTGGCACGTGACGAGTTTCGTTCGAGGCAGGGATAGGTGGGTTTCGGGACTTAATGGAGTAGGTCCTTTGTTGGTTGACTAAGTGGCGTGCCTCTGAAGGGGAGAGGGGAGCGGTGATGAATGGGATGGATGAGGAAGTGTGCTCCTGGTTTTCACCGTAGATACTTGAGGTAGGGAAGTAGGGAAAGGTGAAATACTGCTTGCTTGAACATTGCTGTCATAGTAGGGATGGAGGGAGGTCTAGATGTTATTTGCTGGCAGGGTTTGGGGATAAGGTAGAGAAGGGGAACGAGGATACAAGTCAGGAGCTCGAAGCAAGAACTGGAGACAGCAGTAAGGAAAAAAGACAACACAGCGCCACAAATAAAAGTAAATTAAACCTAATTTGATTTTATGAATAAAAAGGAAAGAAACCGAAGTTTTCCTCGTGGGAACTACTTCTCAAAAACCCGTCATCACTAAGGGACTTCTCTGTTTATGAAATTGATGCTTAGATAATGCTGAAAGCTGATAAGTTCCATGAAGTGAGGAAGAGCAGGGTAGACTGGATGCACGAGGATGAAGTCAGCCTTCACTTCTGTGAGATTTTGAAGACAAAAAAATAGAGGTATAACTATTGCATACAGTTGCAAGCTGCGAGAAGCAACATTGTGGAATTGTCTGCAGTTCTTGTGTAAATCCTGTCGAACTTATTTGCTCTCAGCTTCACCTAAGCATAAACCTTATAAATGCGGGGACCGCTTACTGAAGACGGGTTTTTGTAAGACAAATCCTATTCGTATAAGCTCAGTTTTTGTTTGATTTTGCTCTTTTTTTCTTTTACTCACAAATTCAGGTCTGTTTTAATTTACTTTTCTTTGTAGTGCGAAGTTCCAGCGAGCGGCGCAGCGAAATAGTATTGGCAGAGATGTTGGAGCAAAGCGCCGGAAAGCCCAAGCACCATAGATCATCAGGCGAGCCGAGTTTTTATACGTTTTTGCTGTGCAGCGCTAGAGCGCTGCAATAGGCAGCAAAAACGCATATTGCAACGACCCTGTCAGTGTGTGTGTGTGTGCATGTTTGTGTATGTGTGTGTGTGTGTTCGTCTGTCCAGGTATTTCAACTCGCCAACCACGCGAGCTTTGAAGCTGAAATTTTGCTAATGTGTTCCCCAGCTAAGTGCCACCGCAGGACCGCGGTATCAACTCTCATGCACGTCTGGGCCCTGCGTACGAGCACATGAAAGTTTTGGCGAGAAAACTGATAACTCGGGAACGAGAAAAGCCAGAAAGCTGAAACCATAGGGTAGTATTCCCTACTCGTGTATGACAAAAAGATTTCAAATTCAGCTGCCCAGGACTTACGTACGGGCACGTGGAAATTATGGTGGGAAAATTCATAACTCGAGAATGAAAAAAGTTAGAAAGTTAAAACTTTGGGGGAATGTTCCCTACTCACGCACGACCAAAAGTTTTCAAACTCAGCTCGTTACGACCGCCCGAGGCTCACGTACGGGCACGTGGAAATTTTGGCGCGAAGATCACTAGCCCGGGGACGGAAAAAGCCAGGAAGCTGAAATTTTACGGGAATGTTCCCTTCTCACGCACGAGCAAAATAAGGTGTTTAGAAGCACCCGGAGCCCACATACGAGCGCGTGGAAATTTTGGCGCGAAAATTACTAACCTGGGAACGGAAAAAGCTAGGAAGCTGAAACTTTAGGGGAATGTTTCCTACTCATATGCGGCCAAAATCAAGTGCTTAGAAGCGCCCGGGGCTCACATACGGGCACGTGAGAATTTTGGCGCGAAAATCACTAGCCCGGGACGAAAAAAGCTAGAAAGCTGGAACTTCAGGGTAATGTCCCCTACTCATTTATGACCAAAAGATTTCAAATTCAGCTCCTTAAAACCGTCCGGTACTCACGTACAGACACGTGAAAATTTTGATGGGAAAACTGTTAACTCGGGAACGGGAAAAGCTGAAGGCTTTAATTTTAAGGGGGTGTTCCCTACTCATGTGCGGCTAAAAGATTTCAAATTTATCTCTCCTAGTACGGCCTTTTTTTGCGGACCAGTAACTTTCCATTTGTCAGGTCACTGAAGTCGACATCTACAACTGACATATCACATAGCTGCACAATTAACTCCCCGAAGTTCGAGGGCCAGTATGTCACAGGGTTAGCTACTGTGATTCCTTGCGATCTTGCTACCGCACAAAAAACGCAAAAACGCATAATCGCACCGACTCGCCTGGTGCGTTCCGGCCTGGGTTGTAATTGCCGAAACTATTGCTTGTGGAAAACGAAACAGTGAGTTTGTACATATTCAGCCTGTGGTGTTTGGGCACATCACATCTGCGATCCTTGTGTGGGTTCGCGCACACACAGCTATCACAGCTTAATGCGGCCCCTCGTTGTTTGTTTGGCAGTTCCATTGATTCAATAGATTTAATGGAATGCCTGTTTGTCCACTGCGTTTTTCTTTTGCTTCACTTTTTATGAAGAAAACTGTGGTAATAGCTAGTACTATCAAATTTATCATGGTTCTTTTTGAACTCTTGCTTGATTGTTCGTTCTTCTGCCCCTTGTGGCTCCTTGTCCTAGAAGAGATAGTACCGTCGTCGTTTACAGTCGTTGCTTCAGCCGTTTTCTTACCTTTACCTATACGTTCACCGGTCACCACTTCAATTTTGTCCTCCGAAACGTCTTCATCGTTAACCTCCAATGGATAAAGGAGATTGACTGGTCTTCGAAAGATTTTGCCATTCGAAAGTTTCACGTTTGCTGCTCTTACAAATTCATCATTTCTTTTTTTAAGTTCTACAATTCTTCCCATTTTTCATACTCCACGTGATATTTCCTGTTCGTCAGTGAAAACAACTTCGTTGAGATGTGGAATGTAGTTTACCGCACCTCTGGGATTTCAGTGTTCTGCTTGAGTTCTTTCTGCTAAATTGGTCAAGTAGTCTCATTTCCACATTTCCCAAATTGAATCTAGCACGTTCAACGTTGCTTTCCAGTAATCTAGTAATCCCTACCTCCAGAGCCGCATCAGGGCACCCACCACCTCTAACCACTGTCACCGTTTATCGTCCTGAACTCCTGACCAGCAACTTCATTCCTCCCCATTATCCCTTCCTCAATCGCGTCCTCTAAGCTGCATCTGGACACCAACCAGCACCCCCAACCACCTCCAGCCCCCCCACCCCTCACCATCCTCCCCCCTCCCCCCCCTCACCACCACCACTACGCAGTCCAGCCGCCAGACACTGAGCAGCGCTACCCAGCACATTTGGCAAACTGCCAATCGGCGCCAGTGAGCGTCGCCGCGAAATAGTGTTGGCAGAGATGTTAGGGCAAGGCGCTGGAAAGCCCACGCACCATCGATCATCAGCCGAGCCGAGTTTTTGTAATTGCCTCGTTCTTCTTGGTGTGATTTGGCGCTGGTGGGGTGGACGGCTTGCGAGGATGTGCGCGAAAGGGGCTGGGGAATTCGTGCGCATGAAGGCGAAGGAGTGACTGTGTTGGTTTGTAGCAGGTGTTGATGTTTTACGATTTCGGGCCGATGGTTGCAGCGACATCTGCGAATTCGGTTTCGCTTGCCAGTGCTGCTGCCGCGGCGCAACAGACGCTGCAGCAAATGACGAACCACCAGCTGGCTGGCAACAGCAGCAGTAGCAGCAGCAGCAGCAGCACCGGTTTGTTGATTTCATTACTGCTTCCGGCACCCGTTCCGGATTTTTCAGGTATTAGATTCATGGTCATTTGTGTGGAAGGCGTGTGCCTGGCTGTTTTTGAATATTTCATATGATTGTGTATTTCGCAGTTCCGACCAACACTGGCATTTCGCGGCCATCCGGGACGAGCAGCATCGAGAGTGCTCCACCACCGACACCGACTGTGGCCCCGTCGGCTCCGACAACCGTGCCAAAGCGCCGCCAGATCTATCGCTTCACGTCGAATCGGCCGCTCTTTGCAGCCGGCTGGTCCAGCAAGACGAATCCAGAAAAGCGTTGGCGCATCGCGGTTGGCAGCGTGGTGGAGGAGAAGCCGCACAATAATCGGGTCTGTCAGACTGCTTGCTCCTGGTGTTGTTCTCACGAAAATGATGCGAAACGAGTAGCCCAGTGCTAATTTCAGGTTTCCATCGTGCAACTCGATGAGCAGCAGGGTGAACTGGTTGAAAGGTTTTCGTTCGAGCACACCTTCCCGCCGAACTGCATTCAGTGGATCCCAGATGTGGTTAATTTTTATGCGTTTCGTGCTGTGTAACAGCGTTACAAAACGCGTATTGTCACGGGGTTGTCTGTGCATGTGTGTGTGTGTGTGTCCCACATTTTGTCCCGCTCTTTCAACTCGGGAATCACAAAAGCTAGGCGGCTGAAATTTTGTTTAGTGTTCCCCGCCAACGGTTGACGCGGCAAATTTAAATTCAGCTTTCCCGTACCCGCGGGTAACTCGTACGGCCCGTGAAAGTTTTTCACGGGTAAATCAATATCTCAGAAACCACGGAGTCTAGGAGGCTGAGATTTTAGATTAATGACCCCTGCCCACGCTCAACTTTGCCCATTCATATTCAGCTTCCCCTCGCTGCTGAGTATCACCTACGGCCTCGTGAGAATTTTGGCGGCTAAATTATTAACTAGGGAATCACGGAAAGATATTCACCCTTCAAGGATTCGAATTCAGCTTTCATGCGGTGATGCGTAAAATTTTTAACTGTTTTCCAATTTTTGAACTATTTTTGCATGAACAAAAGTACAAAGCAGTGAAAATCATTAATAGGCAATTTTCGATGGGCTGAATTGCACAAAACGCATGATCGCACCGGCTAGTCTGGTGCGCGTTGCTATTTATATGACTGATTAAAGTGCGAGGTGCTGCCCGCATCCAGTGGCCTCACGCCCGCTGTTTGAACGCAGATCTGGCGTTTCCTTATTTTCGCGCCGCTCCTAGCCGAAAAATGTTCGCCTAAAAAAGCAGCGAACATGATTCATCTGAAGGGAGTGCTCCCAGTATGCCTAAATTTAATGCCTGAACAGGCTGCATCTCGCAGAGAAAGCTTCTTAAATCAGTAGCAGCAGCCATTTTTTCGCACATCACTGCTGAATGAACGTTTGTGCGCTCTGTTCAGAACAATGTCTATCCAGATTTATTGGCAACCAGTGGTGAATGCTTGAAGATTTATCGTGTCGAAGCTAACTCTGTGATGGTGGAATGCATCATGAACAACGTATGATTGTTTTTCTCTTTATAGGCGGGGAGATTCACCGTGCTGTAAGTTTTGGTATTTTTCTTTTCCAGAAGCAGGCTTCAAATTTCTCAGGCCCTCTGACGAATTTCGATTGGAATGATGTCGACCCATCACTGATCGGAACATCTTCTATTGATATGAGCTGCACCATATGGCAACTTGAGGTAACATTGTTAAAATTTCAGTTGTTTTTTCTACTTTTTTGGTTTCTGGCGACTCACAAATTCTTCTTGCAGACGGGCCAGGCGCTTGCACAGACTAAGAAAACCAGTGGAAGCGTAAAGACACAGCTAATTGCACACGATAGGCCAGTGCACGATATCAAATTTTCGAAGATAAACAATGGACGCGATAATTTCGCCACCGTCGGTGCGTTGTACTCTGATAAACGCTCTCGAATTTGCTGCTGGATGAAAGCAAATGTGTTTTTACAGGTGCGGATGGCAGCGCTCGGCTTTTCGACTTGCGCAACTTGCAACATTCAACAATTGTTTATGAGGATCCACTTCGATCTCCTTTAATGAGACTTGCATGGAATAAACAAGACAGTCATTATCTGGCTACGTTTGCGCAGGATTCAGCTGAGGTTTTCATTTGCATGCAGTTGAGAAGAACCCACTGGAATGAAAAATTTGCCAAATCGTAGTGTTTTGTGTCGGACTGAAAAGCAAATTAACAACATTTAATCACTGCTTGAGACTTTTACTGACAGATGATTCTTTGATTTTTTCACAATTGTTGTTTAACTTTAAAAAAAAAAAAATTGGGAGTCTTTGTGAAGGATGAAGTGCTTTAGAAGTATTTTTTTCCCGGGAATAATTCTTGTAAATGTTTAATTCCAGGTGGTAATCGTTGATATACGAATGCCTTGTAGTCCAGTTGCTAGGCTTCACAATCATCGAGCCTGTGTGAATGGTGTCGCTTGGGCTCCCCACTCTGCCTGTCATATATGCACCGCTGGTAAGTTCAGTCAACGATTAAAGAGTTCGTATAGCAATTAAGGCTACACATTTAACTTTTGTTTGTTCAGGAGACGACCATCAGGCGTTGATTTGGGATATCTCAGCAATGCCGAGGCCTGTTGAAGATCCAATATTAGCATATCAAGCTGGAGGAGAGGTACTTTTATCGCAAGTCATTTCTGACTCAAATATTGCAGTTCGTTTAATTGTAGTGTAAAAATCCTTGGTGGTTATGCTTTAGGTAAATCAGGTGCATTGGTCAGCTTCACACATCGATTGGATTTGTATATGTTTCGGGAAATGCTTGGAAATCCTTCGCGTCTGAGCAGAAACTCATTTGACTTGGTATCCTGTGATTTTTACATAAGCTGCTACCGTGTTTCTGGACGTTGCATTATTTTCTTGGATAATTTTGAAATCCATTTCAGTCGAATTTCGCGATTGTTAGCTGTGTCAGATTTTATTCATTTTATGCAGCTGTACCACAGCACAAAATGCATATTATCACGCTCCTGCGCGTATGTATGTGGTTTTTATCGAAAGCATTTTATCCGATCGCAGAAGTCATGGAAGTTAGGAACCTGAAATTTTGGAAGAAGGTCTCGTGCCCACGTGGCGAGCAAATTTGAAATCTTTGAGTTGTACTTGGATGCGGAGATCCCCTTAAAGTTTAAGATCTCCAGTTTTTCTTGTTTTTGAATTGACAGTTTTTACGCCAAAAGTTTCGCCCTCCCGTACGTGAAGCGCGGAGGGTAATTTGCTAACTCGGGAACCGAGCGAGATAAGAAGTTGAAATTTAATGAGGATATTTTCTGACCATGTATGACACCGGAAAATTTATGTTGAATTCCCTGGTACGCCTAGTTCTCGCGCACGAACGCATGAGAGTTTTAGCTGATCCGAACATTCCGAGAACTTCCGCACATATCAAGCACATTTTTAGCAGCAAGCGTTCGCTGGATATTGCTGCACAAAATGCATGATCACAGTAGCTGCCCTGTGCGCGCGGCTGTTTATTAGGATGTGCTGCAAATTGAAAGCATTGTTCTCAGACGTGTTCCTACGCACTCCTACTATGAATCAGTCTCGTTTTCTATTTATTTTGAAAGCTGCTAGATTTGTATTGTCACAGGATGATGAAGAGAATTCTCTACTTTTCCTCCTTCTGATTGTAGCTTGTCAGGCGTCAAGATTATTTAAGTTCTCCATGTTACGCTGTTGTTTTTATCATGCGTTTTCGCATATATGCAAATGCAAAAACACATATTGGCAAGGGGCTGTGTGCTTGCACTTTTTGTCACCCACTTTCAACTCGAGAACCAGAAAAGCTAGAAGGCTGAAACTTCGAGAATATTTGTCCGCACCATGCGCGACCTTCCTGTTCTAATATCGTCGCCCACGTATGGATGCCTTAAAAAACATGCAAATTTTTTGGCCAAGAAGCGATCTCGAGGACCGGGAAGGACTGAGAGCTTGAAATTTGTAGGGATGTTTTCTGTGCATGTGGAAGCTAATGATTTCAAATTCAGCCCCTAGGCATGTGTGGTCTCACGTACGGGCAAGCGAAAGTTTTGTCGGGGAAATTGCTAACTCAGCAACCAGAAAAGCCGGAAGGCTGAAATTTTAAGAGTTTATTTCCCGTCCACATCCAACATAAAGATTTCAAATTCAGCATCCAGGTATGCGTGGTTCTTACGTACGAACACTTAAAAGTTTTGGCGGGAGATCGCTCACTGAACAGCTTTCAAAGAATAACCAATGCAAAATTTACGATGATTTGCGCTAGTGAGCGCAAAAGGTAGGTCTAAACTGACAATCATGCATGCAGTTAACGACTTGAGTGCTTCAAGTCCGATGCAAAAACGTATGATAACACCGGTAAGCCTGGTGCATTCCAGCCTGGATTTGTGTAGAAAAAGGCATAGTGGAGTTAATCCTGGTCTTTCATTGTTTGGCAGTTTGTTTGTTGTAGTCACAGTTTACTTATTTCGTTATGTATGCGCATCATCACAGATGCGATCAAATGCCCGTTTTTTCGCGGTTTTTCCTTGGTCCTACAGAATGCCTCATGCCGGTGAATAATATCGAGTTGTATCGATCAAGCTGTATTTTTCATCATTTTTGTGAGTTCCTCATTCATCCGGGCATATTATTTTCGATGTGGTCGTGGAAAGGTCCCCGAAATATCCATTGTTTTATCGCTACTTTCATTTCAGCCAGTTTCTATTTCACGAACATTATCCATGTTCTCCGCAGCAGTGCGTATAAAATTCAAACACAGCATCACAAAGTGTGATTATATTTACGTACGGACGTCGTAGTAAATCTTTTTTTTATGCGTTTTTGCTGTGCAGCGCTACAGCAGCGCTATAGTTGCTGCAGCCAGCAAAAACGCATATTGTCGAGAGGCTGCCTGTGTGTGTGTGTGTGTGTGTATGTGTGTGTGTGTGTGTGTACGTGTGTGTGTACGGAAACGAGTGCATTTTGTCACCCACTTTCATCTCAGCAACCAGGAG